CCCGTCCATAACATACCCGACGCGCCGACTAAGAGGTATTTTTTTTTACAAAAAAATAACTCAAAAATTGTTGACCGAGGAGGCGGAGAAACTCTGGGAACGAATCGCATGTCAGCGGTATTGCCCATGAAGACAAAAAATCAACATGGTGGACGGAGAAGCACGAGTAGTCATTTAATTTTGCAACAACAAGCCTAACGTCCTGTCTCCTTTCTATCCAAGCTTGAGTATTACAGATAAAAAGAAGAAAAACTCTGTTCCGTGATGTCTGCTAATCCAATTCCTCTTCGCCTTCCTCCGATGCCGAAGGTTGCGGACCTGCTTCGCTTGTATGGACTAGCCGCAAAGAAGCAACTTAGTCAGAACTTTATTCTTGATCTGAACGTTACAGGTAAGAACATTTAAAATTTTGATAAGGAAGGCGAGGAAAAATAAAAGAAATTTAGGTTCAGTAGTTATTAAATATTCAAGTGAAAAATCACGGGCCAAGAATCAATACTCAATTTCTTATATAGTTATGTGCTGTAGGTAGGCTTTATGAGCGATTTGCTCATTGCAGTTCTGCAGTCATGAACTTAGATGGGGCACGCACACAAGATTATATATGTTAATGTATTTGAAAGCTGCAAAGGGTTGTCATAATTACTAGATGGTGTCATTCCATTTTGTATCAAGCCTGTTTGCCGTCAGAGAGGCAACTGCTCTCCTCAAAAAGCCCAGATGCGTTTAGGACAAATTAAATAAAGATTGATTGATTGATTCACCGGTGTGAAGTCCACATACACGGGTATATGCAATGACTAATGCGTTCCATTATTTTTATGCTGGTTTTCCTTCATGTAGGTGACAGGGCAGAAATCTCCAAAGGTGACCACGTTTCACTGATGCTCTAACTATCTTTTTGATTGATAGATAAGATTGCAAAAGTTGCTGATGTCTTTGATTGCCATGTGTGTGAGGTGGGAGCTGGCCCAGGCTCTCTCACAAGGTCCCTGTTGCATGCTGGATCCAAGCATGTCGCTGCCATTGAGATTGACCGGAGATTTCTTCCATCGTTAGAGGTACTCAAATGGGTGATTCCAGAAAATATCCATACCCTACCATGGGCGGCATGAACATTTTAACCCCCCCTTACCTTAGGAAATTCCAAAATGCTCTACCCCCCCACCCCATGCCCTCCAAATTCCAAAATCGTTAACCCCTCCTCCCCTCCGGAATTTTCGATTTTTTTTCAGATCCTGTTTGACTGCCTAAAACTTCCACTGAACAGGAAACTTGCACTTTTTTCCCCATCCAAGAAAATTCTGCTCACAATTAATGGTCCAGTAAACAAGCAACTCAAGTTTGTCAACGTTTAATAAAGGTACACTGTAGCTTTCCCATAAGTGTTGTCTTGAAGTTGCTTACCACCAAATAAAACTTTTTGTTTTCATTTCATTAACTTCATATTTTCAGGAGAGTAGATCATATTAATACCTGTGGAAGACAAAAGTGAAGTTCATGATGTGCCTTCACCCGCCATATTGAAAATTGCGTTCATTGAGGGACTGCTGACCACTAGTAATGCTGCCTACAAATCTGTCAGGCGTTCCATTCAGAAACGAGAGACTAGTGTGAGTTTCTCTCATGGATCAACAATTGTAGTTTGGAAAGAAACACAGACTTGAAACACAGACTAATTCAGCAACTTTAATGCCTCTTTGATGTGGAGCTTGCCGCACAATCCATCTGCTCACTTTTCTGTGTGATCGCTAGCACCTGCCTGATCGATCTTTATCCTGCTTCAGTGGTCGGCTCATGCTTGATGACTTACAAACTGGAAAAGTTATCAGATGCCTGTGGAAATTCAGAGCTGAACCCCCCCATGCGTTTGGAATTCCAAACTGCATTACCCCCCCATGCCTTCAGAATTCCAGTCCAAGAAACCCCCTCTCCCTTTTAATTCCAAGATGCCACCCGTGGTATGGTATGTTTATTTTCTGGAATCACCCAATGTAACTATACCTGTCAGGCTGGTGATAATTTCCACACGAATTATGCCACTTGTTATTTTATCATTTTTATCTGCACTACTGTATTTCAACAAGCAGTATTCGATTTTTTTTTGTGCCAGTGCTCCTTAAGTCTCAATTCTAATGCTACCCTTTCCATTATTGAACAAAGCCTAAGAAAATACTGCTCTTAGCAACTGTCAAACTATATTGTCCCATCCCTACAGATGTGATACTTTCTCATGCTATTCTATATGGCTGTCTTATAATTAGATGCTTGAAAGTGCCAGTAGAGGAAGACTGAGCATACATCATGCTGATATCATGAAGTTTTACATCCCTGATGCTTTTCCTAAAGCTGACATGGTGAAGTGGGAGTCTAATGGTACAAAAGTCTTTGGCTTTATGTATAATTCCCAATAGAATATTGCGTAAATTTACTTCAATGTTGTTAGTTCAAAGAATTAGATGTCAGTAACACAAAATCTTTAATTATGTTTATTCTAATTTCCTGTGTGCTTAACAAGCTATTGACAAACTAGGGATAAATTAAATATTGATTATAATTGCATTGCAATGTAAAACGCATGATTATTTCAGATCATAACTTGAAGCTACAATGACTGGACACAAATGTTAGTTTGAAGGCATACAAGGAGTGGGGGAGGTTGCTTGTACCGTGTTTTCACTCCACGCTCCTGCCCCAATCAGTCAGCTCCTCCCAAACAATCAGTCCATGGGTTATTTGTGAGACTATTTTGTGGAGCAGTCTATTAAAGGAACTATTATACCTTAAACTTTTCCACATCTTTATTAATTATAGCTCCTGTGTTTTGATATGCAGATATTCCAGGAGTGCGTATGGTGGGGAATCTCCCATTCAATGTGTCAATCCCCCTTCTCCTGCAATGGCTGGAAGCCATTCCACAGAGAGCAGGGCCATTTACTTTTGGTAGGACACCTATGGCACTTGTGTTCCAGAAAGAAGTAGCTGATGTGAGTGAAAGAATGTACATGGTATTGTTAGAAGCACAAAGTAGCAGTGAACATATATATTAAAAATTTGTGGTCAATTCATATAATCTGGGAGAAATCTTAGATTGGGACCCAAAAATTTCATGGTCACCGCGATAAAATTCAGAGTTTCAGAGTTGGTGATCCATGTGGTACTGTGATTGTTTTTATTTGCACATGGAAGCTTAAAACAGAGTGGAAAATGCTGGTAGTCATGTATACATACTGGTATCTGTATATTAATGCCATTAAGTATGGATTTTTTTAAAATTTAAATCTAAGACATTTCTTTAGTAAGCTTTTAGACGGCTATTTCCACTTGCAGATAGTGGTTGCTGTTTTCATTCCATTTGTCCTTCCCTCATGTTTCATTTGTCTCTGTGGGTATGCACACTTTGTGAACCTGACACCCTCTAACAAATCTACATCCACAAAGGCTAGCTTAACAAATTACACCACACAAGGCCATGGTCATACAGACGTGAACTAACCACAAGCTCAACTTGCCTTTTACTCTATAAGTATTACATACATGTACATTCTCTGGTTCTTATTAAAGTTATCACTAACGAATCACTCTTTTCCCTGGCTTTAGAATATCCAGGCACCCCCTGGAGATAAGGAATGTACACGACTCTCTATCATGACACAGTATTTGTGTGAGGTGAACAAGACTTACTTGATACCAAGAAAAGTGTTTGTGCCAGAACCAAAGGTACAAGAAAATAGAAGGAGGGCATTTACAAATGTGTTTACTCGCTTGCTTTGATGGAAAGTGAAAGATATCTACTGTTAAAATCAGACACTCATAGCACTCTGTGCTCTGTATGCCCATTTATCTCACTGCAGGAACTGCCTGTATTGGCACCGAGCTGGGGAAAGAAGGCACTCGTTATACCTTCTTCCCTAATGCCTTGTCATGTAACTGATGAATTTTGCTCACCTGTAGATTCGAAGAAAAAGGCAGGGACTAAAGAAGTAGTGTCCGTGATTTGACTATTTTTTTTAATATGCAACAAAATCAAGTTACGTATCGAGATGTTTCAATTTATATCAAATAGTTCGTTAGACACCTAGACTTTTAGTCGTGTCTGGTTGTTAAAGAGCATTTAGATGAATATTGGACTGAAACAGACACACCAAACTGCACTAAGTACATGTACATGTAGCTGCTAGAACTTCAGTGCAGTTGAATTTTCACTCTATACATGTGTCTAACCTGAAATATCCAAATCCTACACATATATACATGTATCTACATGTAAGCAAATAGTTACTTCGGAAACATTTTGGACGCATCTAAGTAATATTTTACATCAGCGAGGTTGCTAGGCAACGTGCTCCATCAGCAAACTTTAAGCTGGACTAAAGCTTATCAGAGAACGCTCGTGTTGTTTTGCGTTTGAATGGCACGCAGTTGGGGTAGTCGTTTAAAAAGAAAATCTAAACAAAAGTACACGGCTTTTACATTTATTTTATTGCAATTGGGCAAACAAGAGTAACGAAATGACGAAAAGAATGCTGTTACTGACCAAAACAGGAACTGGGGAAATCATCAGAAAGTTATTCGTCTTCATGCAATGTGTTAAATAGCTGAAGTAGCAAGCACTGCTTTGAATCTGTTCTTGCCAGCGTTCAAAGCAAATGATCAGTAGATCTCAATCAATATTGTAGTTGTTTAGTCTTATGCTTCAAGGCAGTCTTTGTAGCAGCTAAAAAACAGTCTCTCGAGAGTTTCAAGCGCACTATGTAAATAATTTTCCATATCTTCCGCAAATAAACGTAATTAATTTCGCCTTGTTTACACACGCTTGTACAAAAGTTCTTGTCGATCAAAAGTCGGTAGTCATATTTATCATTTTATTGTCATGGCATCATGTGATGACTTCCCCAAACGGCATTGAACTAGAGAACTGATTTACAGAAATATGACAAGCGTTTGCTAAAGAATTTGACTGCAATCGATATCATAGTTTGAATATCGAAGTGCTTTAAATCATGAATACTTTCGAACACTTAGCAATTGGAAACTTCTCCCAGGAATCGTATTGTTTTAATTCGATCATAGCTGTCCAACTCAGCATGTTTTACTAGTTCTGGCCAATTCTTTTGATTTTCGTTTTTTTGCAAGCAGTTTTTAACAACAACTGTTGTACATTGCATCATTTGAAACATTTTTCCGTGCCTGTAAATAGTTAGAGTTGACACACGGGTGGAAGTCTTGGAAGAGAGGTTAAAACTTTAGGAAACAGGGAAATGCTGCAGAAATTCGATTCCACGGCAGGCTCGAGTTCTTCCAAATCTTAACAGGTGTTTTAACAGAAACATTGACATCTTTTTGGTTTGTTTTTGTTTTTGTCTGGTTGTTTGTTGTCTTATTTTACTTTATTTTTTTTTCTCCGTTGGAAAATTAGCAAAATAAATTGTTCAAACTGTATTCAGTTCTACAGAGTATGTATTGTTAGTAATATTTTCTCAAAATAGATTTTATTTGTTTTCTGAGTTATTGCGTTTTTTTCTCGCAGGTTGACGCTATGTTGCTACGCTTTGTGCCGAGAGTAACTCCTCTTATCGACGCTCCGTTCGTTGTTGTGGAGCAAGTAGTGAAAGCAAATTTCTCAGAGAAGCGGAAAACCATTCGAAACTCATTACGGTAAATTAATTCACCCATGGCATTAATCACATTATTAGAATTCTACTAGCATACTTATACAATGCGGACGCGCGGTGGCCTCATGGTTAGTGCGCTCCGGGGACATTGTGTTGTGTTCTTGGGCAAGACATTTTACTCTCATAGTGCCTCTCTCTACCCATGCGTATAAATGGGTACCGGTGAACTTAATGCTGGAGGTAACCCTGTGATGGACTAGCATCCCATCCAGGGGGGAGTAGGAGAAATATTTTAAACGAGTGGGCTTATAGGAAAAAAAAATATGAAAGATTGATTTATCTGAATTATTTAGTGGGTGCTTGCCTGTTTTGTTTTTCAAATTTTCCATTTGGCTTTCACGACTTTCATTTATAAAAGTTGAAAATAATTCAATATGATTTTTGAACTAGCGCGCGGAAGATAATTTAGTGGTGAGCAATAAAGACAATAGAATGTCTCAGTCTGATAGTTGCCCCTTGGAAATTTGATGTTCTTAAAACTAGCATATTTGCCCTCGAAGCCGGCTTCACTTCTCGGGCAAATATATGCGATCACTTAGAGTCTATCCTCGTTTTGTATCTGCGATAGTCAACTGAGTTGCGTCTCATTGATTATTTGCTCGGAGAAAACTCGGATTTGTGGTCTGTTAACGATTGTACAACTTGTGCAGATTGTGCTGAGTACTTGAGGTGCGCAGATGTTAGAGCTGTTTCTCGGGTGAAATTGGTCAACGGACCCGAAAGATTGCTCCGAGCTGGAGCTACTTCTCCGCAGCAAACTTATCCTAGAATAGTTCTCTGTAATCTCTATGGCATGTCCAAACTGAGACCTGCGCTACCGTTTGTTGTGTTGAGATTGAAACAACTACTTACAGCTCATGTCATTTGCTTTATTGTTGGCATTCAACAGAAACCTTTTTCCCGGAAAACCGGAGTTACTTGAGGAACTTCTAGAAAGGACTGGGGTGGACTCTACTGTACGTCCCCAGGAAGTCGGCTTTGAAGATTATGGCAAGATCTGTCAATCATTCATTGAAATGTCACGTGAACATGACTTGTCTATCACGCCTCTCAGAGTGCGCAAGCCTGTTCCCATCGCAACGGAGAAATACAAAGAGACGGATGCTAACGCTAGTATCGCTAGTAACACTAGTGACCCAAGTAACGCTAGTACCACTACTAATGATAGTAGCACTGGTGACGCTTGTAGCACTAGTAACGTTAGCAACACTAGTAACGCTAGTAACACTAATAACGCTGGTAATGTCCCTATATATCCAACTAATGTCACAAATTCATGACGTCAAAGGCTAATCAGGGTCTGATCCGTGCTTCGCTGGCGCCAAACAGAGGATTTCTGCAAAGTAAGCATCTGTTCAATGACAAGCTTTCAGACAACAGACGATTGCTTTATGTCACTCAAGCTGAACAACGCTTGGCTTGTGGTAATAACATTCCTTGTACGTCCCTCATATGATGACGATGCGTTATATTTTACCACGACTTTTACTGACGAAAGAGGAATCATATCATTGGATGTAAACCAAAAGTAATCATTATTCCGATAATGATGTTTAAGAGATTGAATTGTGAATTGAGGTTGTGACTACCGTCCATGTTGGTTTGGAAGACTGCGGATTCCAAATGATGAAATCACAGAGAAATTATCGAAGCATCAGTTTTCAGTAGGAAAAAAAATGGCGGCTGCACATTTTAGCGCGATGCCATGCGAGCCTAACACAGCCTATTAGGCACAAGGAAAGCCGTATTGCAATATTCGCCCCTGTACTAATGACGTAGGGTATGCTAGATTTGAAGATTTTAGAACTTTTCCGTATGTTTTGTACGTGTTGTTAAGGTTTTCGTGCGTTAAGGATTATGGGTAAATGTACTAGTCGCCATCTTTTTTTCCCACGGAGGATTGAAATGTGACGCACTATCACTTTGTTGCTGTATGTAAATTTTTATAAGATGGCTTGTATCAGCTTGTGATTGCTGTGTGCTCACCTTTCTGCTGGGGTAAAAATTGCCAATACTTTTAAGTTTTAAGCAACACTGAAAACATGTTGATGTCAGAAACAAGAAACATGGGAACACTGGTACATACCTTGTGTTATCGTTGGAGTGTACCTGGTGATGCTTTACTTTCAGAATGGATAGAAATCTCGATAAGACAAATTTAGGGAGCAATAAGACATTCCAAAACCATAATAATGGACATGTTTGGTACTGATTTTGTCATTCTTACTTTTCTCTTGTCTCGCGCGAGAGCAAGACATGAGAGTTGTCAAGCTAAGGGTAGGGATCGGAAGTAAATAAATATCATTCGAGTGAAACATCGTATTTTGAAGAAACAAAATCACTTGAAAAGAGCTGCGTTACCAATGGCGTATCATGAATAAATAGCCCAAATATTTCATGTTCGTTTTTCTCCGTCTTCCCATTTGCCATGAGTGCCTCCAACTTGTTTTTGTACCTTATTAGGCCATTATATTTATAGGTTTTGCTTAGAATAGATAAATTTCATACTGAGATCGAATCCTTGTTTTATAGAATTAGACTTATTCGTGGCAAGCGAGAAATTGCACTCGTTGAATATGAACGGGGAGGATTGAGGCAGGGGAAAAAAATTAAGTTTACATATTACAGGGAAGGAAAGAATCGCCTTTTTTCCTCACATCAAACATCAAACCGCGGCACCTGCTTTTCGGCATCTTTCCAAAATCAATAAACATGTCCAGTCTTTTAATTGGTCGAATTTTTGAATATTTTTTGGTACACTCATTTATTAATGAATGTTTACCTGTGCAAGCCCCAGAAGTGCAACAAATTTGATGGTTTGCTACGATTCGTTAGCACCCATAAGAATAAAAACAAAATAATTTGCACGCAGCCATGAAAAGACGCCAGTTGATAGTTTTAGTCATCATCACTTTTTTTGTTACGTTTTTAATTTGTGTTTTAGGGAGCCAAAATCTGTACTTCGCTCAGCATTCACAAGCCTCTTCGTCTCCGAAGAGGGAGATTGCGTTTGGCGCCCTTTTGCCTCTCCACGTCAAGGACGAACTTCAACGATGTGGATCGGCTCAGAAACACCAAAAAGGATTTTTATGGTTGAACGCACTAAAATATGCAGTTGAGGAAGTCAACAGAAAATGGAACAGGCAGCTTTATAATGCGTCCTTGACGCTGAAAGTTCGTGATACTTGCAATGATGGACAAATAGCATTGGAGCAAGCTCTTGACCTTGCTAACAGTCACGGGAAAACAGTAGAGATATCCTCATCGAGGCATGACAATGCTTCGGACGATATCAAACAAGTTTTCGGCGTGATATCTGCCTCTCAAAATAAGGACGCCTCAACCCTTTTAGGCCTGTTTAAGGTGCCGCAAATAATATTTGGAAGAGAATTGGGAAGGAGTGTGCCTCAGAATTCGAATGAAATTTTGCAATCAGTATCAGTTGGTTTCTACAAGGCTCGGGCGCTTGCAGATCTCATCAAATATTTTACTTGGAGTGCGGTATCGGTGATATATTCTACTAACAATCGAGAAGACTACGAAATCTTTTTGCGAATATCGAACATCGAAAAGCTGTGTATTGCTGTTACTGCTCGACTTGCTGTTGGGGAAACGGATTCTACTCGGTTCGAGCGCGTTCTGGCGAAACTGTCGACCGAGCCTCAATCTACTGCGGTTATCGTCTTCATGGGAGATGCTGAAACGAAAGAGTTATTGCAATGTAAGTTTATACCCGGAGTATTTCTGCTTTCAGTGGGAGATCTAAATCGCCTGAGACGCACTCAATACAAGACAAATGGTAAAAAATGTTGAGAATTTTTTTCATCAGCAGCTAAATTCCAGTGACCGAGACGGGTCCAACATTAACCATTAGCTGGTACCTGGCAAATTTCCTCTTCATTAGAATTTAAATTTCACTACACCAGGATTAAATATAACACAAAGCAGTAAATTGCAGTATGTTACACGATACGTACAAATTGTGTTTGAACCTTTAAAAGATTGTATGGAAAACAAATAATGGTAACTTTGAAACAGGGGTATACGTAATATCTGATGATATTTACCAACAGCATTAGTACAAAGCAAAAAATGTTAACCTTAACCTTGCCAGTGATTACGTAAATAACCAGTAAATGAACAAAGCAAATTATTGTTAACTGAATACCGTGCTTTTGCAAGAAGCACGTTAAAAGGGGAAAAAATACCGGCAGTTGCAAAAACTCGCTGACACGTGTTTGAAGGGAAGAATCACTCATGCTAAAGTGATGACATTACTCAGCCAGTTTGATTGTTGCGCTATGATGACCGACGCAAGAATAAACCAGAAAACATTGGTGAATATGCAAAACTCTTGTTTGGGTGCATTTTCAATGCAAACTACTGCCAAGTTTTATACACCATTGGGAAATATTTACCCAGTTGTCAAAACTCTGAGTCCATTTTCCCGTCATGCAAAATCAGAATTCTCCGTTGACCACTGGTTTTGCTTGCTTTTAAATGATTCCCAGTCAATCAGTTAACTGCTTCAAACTTTTTTTTACCGATAGTCTTTTGTTTCAATTCCTATTCCGTGCTGTTTACATTTCATGAACGTTCTTTTTGTCTCGAAGTGGCTAACAATTATGCTAAGTGTCCTTCGATTTCGTTCTGCAGCTTTCAAAAACAAGAAGGCTATTCCACATTTCACCTGGATGCTAGCAAACCAACAGAACGTGAACTGTTTTCAAGGCAGTACTCTACACGATACTCTCATCCTGATCCCTCAGTTTCCATTCATGGAGGGTTTTAGGAACTATTTCAACGACAAGGATGATGCTGTTGAATTTAACGACGTTGTTGAAAGTCCTGGCGGTCAAAGCAGCTGTTTAAACATTGGAACGCTTGACTCGCCGTCTGAACGAAGAAAAGAGGAAATCCAAGCGTCCATGAATAGTGTTTATCTGCTCGCACATGCGTACGAAAAGGCGGCTCAATCCCGCACACACCGACTTGATCGAGCGGCGTTTTCCAGAAGTCTGGCGCTCGTGCTTGATGTGCTGTACAGTCAGAACTGGAAGGTGTTCTCCGGTGAGTGGCGAATGAAGGAGAACATGTTTTCTTTGATTCATTTGCAATCAAATGGATCCGTAAACAGTCTTGTCAATGTAGGTACTTGGGATAGCGCATGGTATATCAATCATCTTGGATTGAGGTGGATCAATCATACAGTGCCAAAGTCCTTTTGTGGCGACCAATGCTCTCCCGGTCACATCCGGGTTTTAAAGGACAACTGCAAGTGTTGCTGGTCCTGCTCAGCTTGCCATTATAATCAGATTGTCAGAGATGATTTCACTTGCGCCGATTGTTTGAGAGGCTATTGGCCCAATGAAGATTTCACCAAATGTGAATTTCAGTGGCGGAGAACTTTCTTCGACTGCACTTTGGCCGTTTTAGCTGTGGTGCTTGTCTTCTCCTTCATGGTCCTTTAATTATTTTAGTTCTTAATTACAGTATTACAATTATTTAATTATTTCAGGTAGTTTACTTTTGAATTTTCCTTACTAACTGACATCCTTCTTTATCTCCTGACTGTTTGCCAACGTGCTTTAATTGCAGCCAAAAAGATGTCGAACACTTTTGGGAATTGCATTACAGGGTTCTCTAAGACTTCGTTTCTTACCATACTGCGATTTGTCAGACCTATTTCGCCCAAATGTGATGGGAAAATGCTTGAGCAGATAAAATCGCTCCGATTCACAATCGGAAATCGTGGCGTGTTGGCTCGCGTGAATGAACCACCTAATCGGTCCTATAACCATATTGGGGTGCTCGGCACAGATTATGCAAGAGGTATGCAACTTTATGGGTCGTACTTCTTCTGACGAACGAGCAACACCCTCGTAAATTTTCCGTCGATAAACACTGATGCGTGGGCCAACTGACCTGGCTGTACGTGCGAACTTGCGGTACCTTTTGTCACAAAACTCGCACAATGACTACAAACAATAAACTGCGAAGATAAAGACCTATCCAATACTAAAATCTCCCATCAAAGTTCACAACAATCAGTTAAAGAATTTATAGAGCTTTACCGAATCCTGTTTCGTGACCTTGTCAGTCATGCAGGCTAATACTCTAGTGATCGGTTGCCATAAATGGAAAGAGTAGGGGAAAATTATATGTTGCGGACTCTAGGACCACGATGTCCAAATGTAACTTCTTTTAAGGCGATTTCTTGTTTAAAAAAAATTTTGGAATTCCAAACTGCATTACCCCCCCATGCCTTCAGAATTCCAGTCCAAGAAACCCCCTCTCCCTTTTAATTCCAAGATGCCACCCGTGGTATGGTATGTTTATTTTCTGGAATCACCCAATGTAACTATACCTGTCAGGCTGGTGATAATTTCCACACGAATTATGCCACTTGTTATTTTATCATTTTTATCTGCACTACTGTATTTCAACAAGCAGTATTCGATTTTTTTTTGTGCCAGTGCTCCTTAAGTCTCAATTCTAATGCTACCCTTTCCATTATTGAACAAAGCCTAAGAAAATACTGCTCTTAGCAACTGTCAAACTATATTGTCCCATCCCTACAGATGTGATACTTTCTCATGCTATTCTATATGGCTGTCTTATAATTAGATGCTTGAAAGTGCCAGTAGAGGAAGACTGAGCATACATCATGCTGATATCATGAAGTTTTACATCCCTGATGCTTTTCCTAAAGCTGACATGGTGAAGTGGGAGTCTAATGGTACAAAAGTCTTTGGCTTTATGTATAATTCCCAATAGAATATTGCGTAAATTTACTTCAATGTTGTTAGTTCAAAGAATTAGATGTCAGTAACACAAAATCTTTAATTATGTTTATTCTAATTTCCTGTGTGCTTAACAAGCTATTGACAAACTAGGGATAAATTAAATATTGATTATAATTGCATTGCAATGTAAAACGCATGATTATTTCAGATCATAACTTGAAGCTACAATGACTGGACACAAATGTTAGTTTGAAGGCATACAAGGAGTGGGGGAGGTTGCTTGTACCGTGTTTTCACTCCACGCTCCTGCCCCAATCAGTCAGCTCCTCCCAAACAATCAGTCCATGGGTTATTTGTGAGACTATTTTGTGGAGCAGTCTATTAAAGGAACTATTATACCTTAAACTTTTCCACATCTTTATTAATTATAGCTCCTGTGTTTTGATATGCAGATATTCCAGGAGTGCGTATGGTGGGGAATCTCCCATTCAATGTGTCAATCCCCCTTCTCCTGCAATGGCTGGAAGCCATTCCACAGAGAGCAGGGCCATTTACTTTTGGTAGGACACCTATGGCACTTGTGTTCCAGAAAGAAGTAGCTGATGTGAGTGAAAGAATGTACATGGTATTGTTAGAAGCACAAAGTAGCAGTGAACATATATATTAAAAATTTGTGGTCAATTCATATAATCTGGGAGAAATCTTAGATTGGGACCCAAAAATTTCATGGTCACCGCGATAAAATTCAGAGTTTCAGAGTTGGTGATCCATGTGGTACTGTGATTGTTTTTATTTGCACATGGAAGCTTAAAACAGAGTGGAAAATGCTGGTAGTCATGTATACATACTGGTATCTGTATATTAATGCCATTAAGTATGGATTTTTTTAAAATTTAAATCTAAGACATTTCTTTAGTAAGCTTTTAGACGGCTATTTCCACTTGCAGATAGTGGTTGCTGTTTTCATTCCATTTGTCCTTCCCTCATGTTTCATTTGTCTCTGTGGGTATGCACACTTTGTGAACCTGACACCCTCTAACAAATCTACATCCACAAAGGCTAGCTTAACAAATTACACCACACAAGGCCATGGTCATACAGACGTGAACTAACCACAAGCTCAACTTGCCTTTTACTCTATAAGTATTACATACATGTACATTCTCTGGTTCTTATTAAAGTTATCACTAACGAATCACTCTTTTCCCTGGCTTTAGAATATCCAGGCACCCCCTGGAGATAAGGAATGTACACGACTCTCTATCATGACACAGTATTTGTGTGAGGTGAACAAGACTTACTTGATACCAAGAAAAGTGTTTGTGCCAGAACCAAAGGTACAAGAAAATAGAAGGAGGGCATTTACAAATGTGTTTACTCGCTTGCTTTGATGGAAAGTGAAAGATATCTACTGTTAAAATCAGACACTCATAGCACTCTGTGCTCTGTATGCCCATTTATCTCACTGCAGGAACTGCCTGTATTGGCACCGAGCTGGGGAAAGAAGGCACTCGTTATACCTTCTTCCCTAATGCCTTGTCATGTAACTGATGAATTTTGCTCACCTGTAGATTCGAAGAAAAAGGCAGGGACTAAAGAAGTAGTGTCCGTGATTTGACTATTTTTTTTAATATGCAACAAAATCAAGTTACGTATCGAGATGTTTCAATTTATATCAAATAGTTCGTTAGACACCTAGACTTTTAGTCGTGTCTGGTTGTTAAAGAGCATTTAGATGAATATTGGACTGAAACAGACACACCAAACTGCACTAAGTACATGTACATGTAGCTGCTAGAACTTCAGTGCAGTTGAATTTTCACTCTATACATGTGTCTAACCTGAAATATCCAAATCCTACACATATATACATGTATCTACATGTAAGCAAATAGTTACTTCGGAAACATTTTGGACGCATCTAAGTAATATTTTACATCAGCGAGGTTGCTAGGCAACGTGCTCCATCAGCAAACTTTAAGCTGGACTAAAGCTTATCAGAGAACGCTCGTGTTGTTTTGCGTTTGAATGGCACGCAGTTGGGGTAGTCGTTTAAAAAGAAAATCTAAACAAAAGTACACGGCTTTTACATTTATTTTATTGCAATTGGGCAAACAAGAGTAACGAAATGACGAAAAGAATGCTGTTACTGACCAAAACAGGAACTGGGGAAATCATCAGAAAGTTATTCGTCTTCATGCAATGTGTTAAATAGCTGAAGTAGCAAGCACTGCTTTGAATCTGTTCTTGCCAGCGTTCAAAGCAAATGATCAGTAGATCTCAATCAATATTGTAGTTGTTTAGTCTTATGCTTCAAGGCAGTCTTTGTAGCAGCTAAAAAACAGTCTCTCGAGAGTTTCAAGCGCACTATGTAAATAATTTTCCATATCTTCCGCAAATAAACGTAATTAATTTCGCCTTGTTTACACACGCTTGTACAAAAGTTCTTGTCGATCAAAAGTCGGTAGTCATATTTATCATTTTATTGTCATGGCATCATGTGATGACTTCCCCAAACGGCATTGAACTAGAGAACTGATTTACAGAAATATGACAAGCGTTTGCTAAAGAATTTGACTGCAATCGATATCATAGTTTGAATATCGAAGTGCTTTAAATCATGAATACTTTCGAACACTTAGCAATTGGAAACTTCTCCCAGGAATCGTATTGTTTTAATTCGATCATAGCTGTCCAACTCAGCATGTTTTACTAGTTCTGGCCAATTCTTTTGATTTTCGTTTTTTTGCAAGCAGTTTTTAACAACAACTGTTGTACATTGCATCATTTGAAACATTTTTCCGTGCCTGTAAATAGTTAGAGTTGACACACGGGTGGAAGTCTTGGAAGAGAGGTTAAAACTTTAGGAAACAGGGAAATGCTGCAGAAATTCGATTCCACGGCAGGCTCGAGTTCTTCCAAATCTTAACAGGTGTTTTAACAGAAACATTGACATCTTTTTGGTTTGTTTTTGTTTTTGTCTGGTTGTTTGTTGTCTTATTTTACTTTATTTTTTTTTCTCCGTTGGAAAATTAGCAAAATAAATTGTTCAAACTGTATTCAGTTCTACAGAGTATGTATTGTTAGTAATATTTTCTCAAAATAGATTTTATTTGTTTTCTGAGTTATTGCGTTTTTTTCTCGCAGGTTGACGCTATGTTGCTACGCTTTGTGCCGAGAGTAACTCCTCTTATCGACGCTCCGTTCGTTGTTGTGGAGCAAGTAGTGAAAGCAAATTTCTCAGAGAAGCGGAAAACCATTCGAAACTCATTACGGTAAATTAATTCACCCATGGCATTAATCACATTATTAGAATTCTACTAGCATACTTATACAATGCGGACGCGCGGTGGCCTCATGGTTAGTGCGCTCCGGGGACATTGTGTTGTGTTCTTGGGCAAGACATTTTACTCTCATAGTGCCTCTCTCTACCCATGCGTATAAATGGGTACCGGTGAACTTAATGCTGGAGGTAACCCTGTGATGGACTAGCATCCCATCCAGGGGGGAGTAGGAGAAATATTTTAAACGAGTGGGCTTATAGGAAAAAAAAATATGAAAGATTGATTTATCTGAATTATTTAGTGGGTGCTTGCCTGTTTTGTTTTTCAAATTTTCCATTTGGCTTTCACGACTTTCATTTATAAAAGTTGAAAATAATTCAATATGATTTTTGAACTAGCGCGCGGAAGATAATTTAGTGGTGAGCAATAAAGACAATAGAATGTCTCAGTCTGATAGTTGCCCCTTGGAAATTTGATGTTCTTAAAACTAGCATATTTGCCCTCGAAGCCGGCTTCACTTCTCGGGCAAATATATGCGATCACTTAGAGTCTATCCTCGTTTTGTATCTGCGATAGTCAACTGAGTTGCGTCTCATTGATTATTTGCTCGGAGAAAACTCGGATTTGTGGTCTGTTAACGATTGTACAACTTGTGCAGATTGTGCTGAGTACTTGAGGTGCGCAGATGTTAGAGCTGTTTCTCGGGTGAAATTGGTCAACGGACCCGAAAGATTGCTCCGAGCTGGAGCTACTTCTCCGCAGCAAACTTATCCTAGAATAGTTCTCTGTAATCTCTATGGCATGTCCAAACTGAGACCTGCGCTACCGTTTGTTGTGTTGAGATTGAAACAACTACTTACAGCTCATGTCATTTGCTTTATTGTTGGCATTCAACAGAAACCTTTTTCCCGGAAAACCGGAGTTACTTGAGGAACTTCTAGAAAGGACTGGGGTGGACTCTACTGTACGTCCCCAGGAAGTCGGCTTTGAAGATTATGGCAAGATCTGTCAATCATTCATTGAAATGTCACGTGAACATGACTTGTCTATCACGCCTCTCAGAGTGCGCAAGCCTGTTCCCATCGCAACGGAGAAATACAAAGAGACGGATGCTAACGCTAGTATCGCTAGTAACACTAGTGACCCAAGTAACGCTAGTACCACTACTAATGATAGTAGCACTGGTGACGCTTGTAGCACTAGTAACGTTAGCAACACTAGTAACGCTAGTAACACTAATAACGCTGGTAATGTCCCTATATATCCAACTAATGTCACAAATTCATGACGTCAAAGGCTAATCAGGGTCTGATCCGTGCTTCGCTGGCGCCAAACAGAGGATTTCTGCAAAGTAAGCATCTGTTCAATGACAAGCTTTCAGACAACAGACGATTGCTTTATGTCACTCAAGCTGAACAACGCTTGGCTTGTGGTAATAACATTCCTTGTACGTCCCTCATATGATGACGATGCGTTATATTTTACCACGACTTTTACTGACGAAAGAGGAATCATATCATTGGATGTAAACCAAAAGTAATCATTATTCCGATAATGATGTTTAAGAGATTGAATTGTGAATTGAGGTTGTGACTACCGTCCATGTTGGTTTGGAAGACTGCGGATTCCAAATGATGAAATCACAGAGAAATTATCGAAGCATCAGTTTTCAGTAGGAAAAAAAATGGCGGCTGCACATTTTAGCGCGATGCCATGCGAGCCTAACACAGCCTATTAGGCACAAGGAAAGCCGTATTGCAATATTCGCCCCTGTACTAATGACGTAGGGTATGCTAGATTTGAAGATTTTAGAACTTTTCCGTATGTTTTGTACGTGTTGTTAAGGTTTTCGTGCGTTAAGGATTATGGGTAAATGTACTAGTCGCCATCTTTTTTTCCCACGGAGGATTGAAATGTGACGCACTATCACTTTGTTGCTGTATGTAAATTTTTATAAGATGGCTTGTATCAGCTTGTGATTGCTGTGTGCTCACCTTTCTGCTGGGGTAAAAATTGCCAATACTTTTAAGTTTTAAGCAACACTGAAAACATGTTGATGTCAGAAACAAGAAACATGGGAACACTGGTACATACCTTGTGTTATCGTTGGAGTGTACCTGGTGATGCTTTACTTTCAGAATGGATAGAAATCTCGATAAGACAAATTTAGGGAGCAATAAGACATTCCAAAACCATAATAATGGACATGTTTGGTACTGATTTTGTCATTCTTACTTTTCTCTTGTCTCGCGCGAGAGCAAGACATGAGAGTTGTCAAGCTAAGGGTAGGGATCGGAAGTAAATAAATATCATTCGAGTGAAACATCGTATTTTGAAGAAACAAAATCACTTGAAAAGAGCTGCGTTACCAATGGCGTATCATGAATAAATAGCCCAAATATTTCATGTTCGTTTTTCTCCGTCTTCCCATTTGCCATGAGTGCCTCCAACTTGTTTTTGTACCTTATTAGGCCATTATATTTATAGGTTTTGCTTAGAATAGATAAATTTCATACTGAGATCGAATCCTTGTTTTATAGAATTAGACTTATTCGTGGCAAGCGAGAAATTGCACTCGTTGAATATGAACGGGGAGGATTGAGGCAGGGGAAAAAAATTAAGTTTACATATTACAGGGAAGGAAAGAATCGCCTTTTTTCCTCACATCAAACATCAAACCGCGGCACCTGCTTTTCGGCATCTTTCCAAAATCAATAAACATGTCCAGTCTTTTAATTGGTCGAATTTTTGAATATTTTTTGGTACACTCATTTATTAATGAATGTTTACCTGTGCAAGCCCCAGAAGTGCAACAAATTTGATGGTTTGCTACGATTCGTTAGCACCCATAAGAATAAAAACAAAATAATTTGCACGCAGCCATGAAAAGACGCCAGTTGATAGTTTTAGTCATCATCACTTTTTTTGTTACGTTTTTAATTTGTGTTTTAGGGAGCCAAAATCTGTACTTCGCTCAGCATTCACAAGCCTCTTCGTCTCCGAAGAGGGAGATTGCGTTTGGCGCCCTTTTGCCTCTCCACGTCAAGGACGAACTTCAACGATGTGGATCGGCTCAGAAACACCAAAAAGGATTTTTATGGTTGAACGCACTAAAATATGCAGTTGAGGAAGTCAACAGAAAATGGAACAGGCAGCTTTATAATGCGTCCTTGACGCTGAAAGTTCGTGATACTTGCAATGATGGACAAATAGCATTGGAGCAAGCTCTTGACCTTGCTAACAGTCACGGGAAAACAGTAGAGATATCCTCATCGAGGCATGACAATGCTTCGGACGATATCAAACAAGTTTTCGGCGTGATATCTGCCTCTCAAAATAAGGACGCCTCAACCCTTTTAGGCCTGTTTAAGGTGCCGCAAATAATATTTGGAAGAGAATTGGGAAGGAGTGTGCCTCAGAATTCGAATGAAATTTTGCAATCAGTATCAGTTGGTTTCTACAAGGCTCGGGCGCTTGCAGATCTCATCAAATATTTTACTTGGAGTGCGGTATCGGTGATATATTCTACTAACAATCGAGAAGACTACGAAATCTTTTTGCGAATATCGAACATCGAAAAGCTGTGTATTGCTGTTACTGCTCGACTTGCTGTTGGGGAAACGGATTCTACTCGGTTCGAGCGCGTTCTGGCGAAACTGTCGACCGAGCCTCAATCTACTGCGGTTATCGTCTTCATGGGAGATGCTGAAACGAAAGAGTTATTGCAATGTAAGTTTATACCCGGAGTATTTCTGCTTTCAGTGGGAGATCTAAATCGCCTGAGACGCACTCAATACAAGACAAATGGTAAAAAATGTTGAGAATTTTTTTCATCAGCAGCTAAATTCCAGTGACCGAGACGGGTCCAACATTAACCATTAGCTGGTACCTGGCAAATTTCCTCTTCATTAGAATTTAAATTTCACTACACCAGGATTAAATATAACACAAAGCAGTAAATTGCAGTATGTTACACGATACGTACAAATTGTGTTTGAACCTTTAAAAGATTGTATGGAAAACAAATAATGGTAACTTTGAAACAGGGGTATACGTAATATCTGATGATATTTACCAACAGCATTAGTACAAAGCAAAAAATGTTAACCTTAACCTTGCCAGTGATTACGTAAATAACCAGTAAATGAACAAAGCAAATTATTGTTAACTGAATACCGTGCTTTTGCAAGAAGCACGTTAAAAGGGGAAAAAATACCGGCAGTTGCAAAAACTCGCTGACACGTGTTTGAAGGGAAGAATCACTCATGCTAAAGTGATGACATTACTCAGCCAGTTTGATTGTTGCGCTATGATGACCGACGCAAGAATAAACCAGAAAACATTGGTGAATATGCAAAACTCTTGTTTGGGTGCATTTTCAATGCAAACTACTGCCAAGTTTTATACACCATTGGGAAATATTTACCCAGTTGTCAAAACTCTGAGTCCATTTTCCCGTCATGCAAAATCAGAATTCTCCGTTGACCACTGGTTTTGCTTGCTTTTAAATGATTCCCAGTCAATCAGTTAACTGCTTCAAACTTTTTTTTACCGATAGTCTTTTGTTTCAATTCCTATTCCGTGCTGTTTACATTTCATGAACGTTCTTTTTGTCTCGAAGTGGCTAACAATTATGCTAAGTGTCCTTCGATTTCGTTCTGCAGCTTTCAAAAACAAGAAGGCTATTCCACATTTCACCTGGATGCTAGCAAACCAACAGAACGTGAACTGTTTTCAAGGCAGTACTCTACACGATACTCTCATCCTGATCCCTCAGTTTCCATTCATGGAGGGTTTTAGGAACTATTTCAACGACAAGGATGATGCTGTTGAATTTAACGACGTTGTTGAAAGTCCTGGCGGTCAAAGCAGCTGTTTAAACATTGGAACGCTTGACTCGCCGTCTGAACGAAGAAAAGAGGAAATCCAAGCGTCCATGAATAGTGTTTATCTGCTCGCACATGCGTACGAAAAGGCGGCTCAATCCCGCACACACCGACTTGATCGAGCGGCGTTTTCCAGAAGTCTGGCGCTCGTGCTTGATGTGCTGTACAGTCAGAACTGGAAGGTGTTCTCCGGTGAGTGGCGAATGAAGGAGAACATGTTTTCTTTGATTCATTTGCAATCAAATGGATCCGTAAACAGTCTTGTCAATGTAGGTACTTGGGATAGCGCATGGTATATCAATCATCTTGGATTGAGGTGGATCAATCATACAGTGCCAAAGTCCTTTTGTGGCGACCAATGCTCTCCCGGTCACATCCGGGTTTTAAAGGACAACTGCAAGTGTTGCTGGTCCTGCTCAGCTTGCCATTATAATCAGATTGTCAGAGATGATTTCACTTGCGCCGATTGTTTGAGAGGCTATTGGCCCAATGAAGATTTCACCAAATGTGAATTTCAGTGGCGGAGAACTTTCTTCGACTGCACTTTGGCCGTTTTAGCTGTGGTGCTTGTCTTCTCCTTCATGGTCCTTTAATTATTTTAGTTCTTAATTACAGTATTACAATTATTTAATTATTTCAGGTAGTTTACTTTTGAATTTTCCTTACTAACTGACATCCTTCTTTATCTCCTGACTGTTTGCCAACGTGCTTTAATTGCAGCCAAAAAGATGTCGAACACTTTTGGGAATTGCATTACAGGGTTCTCTAAGACTTCGTTTCTTACCATACTGCGATTTGTCAGACCTATTTCGCCCAAATGTGATGGGAAAATGCTTGAGCAGATAAAATCGCTCCGATTCACAATCGGAAATCGTGGCGTGTTGGCTCGCGTGAATGAACCACCTAATCGGTCCTATAACCATATTGGGGTGCTCGGCACAGATTATGCAAGAGGTATGCAACTTTATGGGTCGTACTTCTTCTGACGAACGAGCAACACCCTCGTAAATTTTCCGTCGATAAACACTGATGCGTGGGCCAACTGACCTGGCTGTACGTGCGAACTTGCGGTACCTTTTGTCACAAAACTCGCACAATGACTACAAACAATAAACTGCGAAGATAAAGACCTATCCAATACTAAAATCTCCCATCAAAGTTCACAACAATCAGTTAAAGAATTTATAGAGCTTTACCGAATCCTGTTTCGTGACCTTGTCAGTCATGCAGGCTAATACTCTAGTGATCGGTTGCCATAAATGGAAAGAGTAGGGGAAAATTATATGTTGCGGACTCTAGGACCACGATGTCCAAATGTAACTTCTTTTAAGGCGATTTCTTGTTTAAAAAAAACTAATAAGATTTGTATGCAAAAAAGTTGCCAAGTTTTGTGATCAGCATACAAATCCTTAAAATTTGTCAAATCTTTGAATTCGCCTGCCCGTTTTGTTCCGCGACCCTTACCATGACTGACTAGGTCACGTGGTGGCCTCGTGAAATAGTTTACTTTAGTTTAGTTTAGTTTAATGAGTTCGTGACCAAAATATAAGAACAAATTAATTCGGAGACAAACAATGAAATTAAACAAATACGTTAATCAGTTGCCGAGTTAGTAAGTGCCGTTAAACTGACGTTTTGGGGATATTTTGCCAAGTTGTGGATAGCTTTTCTATTTTTGCATTTTTTACCCATTTTTAAATAGAAAAAAAGAACTATTGTCACTTGAAGATTCACATGCAAAAACAATGCGATGATTGATGCGTTTTAAGAGGCTGCTTATTAGTCACATGTAAAATACATGCAGTGTATGTGTAAAGAAAACTTGTTAACGTTGGTTGACTGCTATGATAATGTTGTAATGCAACATGGTGCAAATATAGCGATCATTTTGGGAGTTTTTTGGAATTCCAAACTGCATTACCCCCCCATGCCTTCAGAATTCCAGTCCAAGAAACCCCCTCTCCCTTTTAATTCCAAGATGCCACCCGTGGTATGGTATGTTTATTTTCTGGAATCACCCAATGTAACTATACCTGTCAGGCTGGTGATAATTTCCACACGAATTATGCCACTTGTTATTTTATCATTTTTATCTGCACTACTGTATTTCAACAAGCAGTATTCGATTTTTTTTTGTGCCAGTGCTCCTTAAGTCTCAATTCTAATGCTACCCTTTCCATTATTGAACAAAGCCTAAGAAAATACTGCTCTTAGCAACTGTCAAACTATATTGTCCCATCCCTACAGATGTGATACTTTCTCATGCTATTCTATATGGCTGTCTTATAATTAGATGCTTGAAAGTGCCAGTAGAGGAAGACTGAGCATACATCATGCTGATATCATGAAGTTTTACATCCCTGATGCTTTTCCTAAAGCTGACATGGTGAAGTGGGAGTCTAATGGTACAAAAGTCTTTGGCTTTATGTATAATTCCCAATAGAATATTGCGTAAATTTACTTCAATGTTGTTAGTTCAAAGAATTAGATGTCAGTAACACAAAATCTTTAATTATGTTTATTCTAATTTCCTGTGTGCTTAACAAGCTATTGACAAACTAGGGATAAATTAAATATTGATTATAATTGCATTGCAATGTAAAACGCATGATTATTTCAGATCATAACTTGAAGCTACAATGACTGGACACAAATGTTAGTTTGAAGGCATACAAGGAGTGGGGGAGGTTGCTTGTACCGTGTTTTCACTCCACGCTCCTGCCCCAATCAGTCAGCTCCTCCCAAACAATCAGTCCATGGGTTATTTGTGAGACTATTTTGTGGAGCAGTCTATTAAAGGAACTATTATACCTTAAACTTTTCCACATCTTTATTAATTATAGCTCCTGTGTTTTGATATGCAGATATTCCAGGAGTGCGTATGGTGGGGAATCTCCCATTCAATGTGTCAATCCCCCTTCTCCTGCAATGGCTGGAAGCCATTCCACAGAGAGCAGGGCCATTTACTTTTGGTAGGACACCTATGGCACTTGTGTTCCAGAAAGAAGTAGCTGATGTGAGTGAAAGAATGTACATGGTATTGTTAGAAGCACAAAGTAGCAGTGAACATATATATTAAAAATTTGTGGTCAATTCATATAATCTGGGAGAAATCTTAGATTGGGACCCAAAAATTTCATGGTCACCGCGATAAAATTCAGAGTTTCAGAGTTGGTGATCCATGTGGTACTGTGATTGTTTTTATTTGCACATGGAAGCTTAAAACAGAGTGGAAAATGCTGGTAGTCATGTATACATACTGGTATCTGTATATTAATGCCATTAAGTATGGATTTTTTTAAAATTTAAATCTAAGACATTTCTTTAGTAAGCTTTTAGACGGCTATTTCCACTTGCAGATAGTGGTTGCTGTTTTCATTCCATTTGTCCTTCCCTCATGTTTCATTTGTCTCTGTGGGTATGCACACTTTGTGAACCTGACACCCTCTAACAAATCTACATCCACAAAGGCTAGCTTAACAAATTACACCACACAAGGCCATGGTCATACAGACGTGAACTAACCACAAGCTCAACTTGCCTTTTACTCTATAAGTATTACATACATGTACATTCTCTGGTTCTTATTAAAGTTATCACTAACGAATCACTCTTTTCCCTGGCTTTAGAATATCCAGGCACCCCCTGGAGATAAGGAATGTACACGACTCTCTATCATGACACAGTATTTGTGTGAGGTGAACAAGACTTACTTGATACCAAGAAAAGTGTTTGTGCCAGAACCAAAGGTACAAGAAAATAGAAGGAGGGCATTTACAAATGTGTTTACTCGCTTGCTTTGATGGAAAGTGAAAGATATCTACTGTTAAAATCAGACACTCATAGCACTCTGTGCTCTGTATGCCCATTTATCTCACTGCAGGAACTGCCTGTATTGGCACCGAGCTGGGGAAAGAAGGCACTCGTTATACCTTCTTCCCTAATGCCTTGTCATGTAACTGATGAATTTTGCTCACCTGTAGATTCGAAGAAAAAGGCAGGGACTAAAGAAGTAGTGTCCGTGATTTGACTATTTTTTTTAATATGCAACAAAATCAAGTTACGTATCGAGATGTTTCAATTTATATCAAATAGTTCGTTAGACACCTAGACTTTTAGTCGTGTCTGGTTGTTAAAGAGCATTTAGATGAATATTGGACTGAAACAGACACACCAAACTGCACTAAGTACATGTACATGTAGCTGCTAGAACTTCAGTGCAGTTGAATTTTCACTCTATACATGTGTCTAACCTGAAATATCCAAATCCTACACATATATACATGTATCTACATGTAAGCAAATAGTTACTTCGGAAACATTTTGGACGCATCTAAGTAATATTTTACATCAGCGAGGTTGCTAGGCAACGTGCTCCATCAGCAAACTTTAAGCTGGACTAAAGCTTATCAGAGAACGCTCGTGTTGTTTTGCGTTTGAATGGCACGCAGTTGGGGTAGTCGTTTAAAAAGAAAATCTAAACAAAAGTACACGGCTTTTACATTTATTTTATTGCAATTGGGCAAACAAGAGTAACGAAATGACGAAAAGAATGCTGTTACTGACCAAAACAGGAACTGGGGAAATCATCAGAAAGTTATTCGTCTTCATGCAATGTGTTAAATAGCTGAAGTAGCAAGCACTGCTTTGAATCTGTTCTTGCCAGCGTTCAAAGCAAATGATCAGTAGATCTCAATCAATATTGTAGTTGTTTAGTCTTATGCTTCAAGGCAGTCTTTGTAGCAGCTAAAAAACAGTCTCTCGAGAGTTTCAAGCGCACTATGTAAATAATTTTCCATATCTTCCGCAAATAAACGTAATTAATTTCGCCTTGTTTACACACGCTTGTACAAAAGTTCTTGTCGATCAAAAGTCGGTAGTCATATTTATCATTTTATTGTCATGGCATCATGTGATGACTTCCCCAAACGGCATTGAACTAGAGAACTGATTTACAGAAATATGACAAGCGTTTGCTAAAGAATTTGACTGCAATCGATATCATAGTTTGAATATCGAAGTGCTTTAAATCATGAATACTTTCGAACACTTAGCAATTGGAAACTTCTCCCAGGAATCGTATTGTTTTAATTCGATCATAGCTGTCCAACTCAGCATGTTTTACTAGTTCTGGCCAATTCTTTTGATTTTCGTTTTTTTGCAAGCAGTTTTTAACAACAACTGTTGTACATTGCATCATTTGAAACATTTTTCCGTGCCTGTAAATAGTTAGAGTTGACACACGGGTGGAAGTCTTGGAAGAGAGGTTAAAACTTTAGGAAACAGGGAAATGCTGCAGAAATTCGATTCCACGGCAGGCTCGAGTTCTTCCAAATCTTAACAGGTGTTTTAACAGAAACATTGACATCTTTTTGGTTTGTTTTTGTTTTTGTCTGGTTGTTTGTTGTCTTATTTTACTTTATTTTTTTTTCTCCGTTGGAAAATTAGCAAAATAAATTGTTCAAACTGTATTCAGTTCTACAGAGTATGTATTGTTAGTAATATTTTCTCAAAATAGATTTTATTTGTTTTCTGAGTTATTGCGTTTTTTTCTCGCAGGTTGACGCTATGTTGCTACGCTTTGTGCCGAGAGTAACTCCTCTTATCGACGCTCCGTTCGTTGTTGTGGAGCAAGTAGTGAAAGCAAATTTCTCAGAGAAGCGGAAAACCATTCGAAACTCATTACGGTAAATTAATTCACCCATGGCATTAATCACATTATTAGAATTCTACTAGCATACTTATACAATGCGGACGCGCGGTGGCCTCATGGTTAGTGCGCTCCGGGGACATTGTGTTGTGTTCTTGGGCAAGACATTTTACTCTCATAGTGCCTCTCTCTACCCATGCGTATAAATGGGTACCGGTGAACTTAATGCTGGAGGTAACCCTGTGATGGACTAGCATCCCATCCAGGGGGGAGTAGGAGAAATATTTTAAACGAGTGGGCTTATAGGAAAAAAAAATATGAAAGATTGATTTATCTGAATTATTTAGTGGGTGCTTGCCTGTTTTGTTTTTCAAATTTTCCATTTGGCTTTCACGACTTTCATTTATAAAAGTTGAAAATAATTCAATATGATTTTTGAACTAGCGCGCGGAAGATAATTTAGTGGTGAGCAATAAAGACAATAGAATGTCTCAGTCTGATAGTTGCCCCTTGGAAATTTGATGTTCTTAAAACTAGCATATTTGCCCTCGAAGCCGGCTTCACTTCTCGGGCAAATATATGCGATCACTTAGAGTCTATCCTCGTTTTGTATCTGCGATAGTCAACTGAGTTGCGTCTCATTGATTATTTGCTCGGAGAAAACTCGGATTTGTGGTCTGTTAACGATTGTACAACTTGTGCAGATTGTGCTGAGTACTTGAGGTGCGCAGATGTTAGAGCTGTTTCTCGGGTGAAATTGGTCAACGGACCCGAAAGATTGCTCCGAGCTGGAGCTACTTCTCCGCAGCAAACTTATCCTAGAATAGTTCTCTGTAATCTCTATGGCATGTCCAAACTGAGACCTGCGCTACCGTTTGTTGTGTTGAGATTGAAACAACTACTTACAGCTCATGTCATTTGCTTTATTGTTGGCATTCAACAGAAACCTTTTTCCCGGAAAACCGGAGTTACTTGAGGAACTTCTAGAAAGGACTGGGGTGGACTCTACTGTACGTCCCCAGGAAGTCGGCTTTGAAGATTATGGCAAGATCTGTCAATCATTCATTGAAATGTCACGTGAACATGACTTGTCTATCACGCCTCTCAGAGTGCGCAAGCCTGTTCCCATCGCAACGGAGAAATACAAAGAGACGGATGCTAACGCTAGTATCGCTAGTAACACTAGTGACCCAAGTAACGCTAGTACCACTACTAATGATAGTAGCACTGGTGACGCT